AATGGAAGGCAGATCACCTTACAGGGACAGCAACAACTATTCCAGCCGCACCTACATCTTTCGCTGGATTCCAAGCAAGGTGACCTCGAGAAGATATTGGCCGAATTTGATGACATATTCCAAGAACCTACAAGTCTACCTCCTATGCGGTCCTGTGACCATCGCATTTGTTTACTACCAGGAACTGATCCGGTGGTAGTTCGACCCTATCGCTACCCTCACTTCCAGAAAGATGAGATTGAGAAAGAGTGTGATCAAATGCTTCATCAAGGTATCATCCGACCCAGTCGTTCTCCATTCTCATACATGTACTGCTAGTTCGGAAACATGATGGAACATGGCGCTTTTGCGTGGACTATAGGGAGCTTAATTCCAAAACAGTAAAAGACATTCCCTATTCCAGTAGTGGATGAATTACTTGAAGAATTGCACAGAGCACAATTTTTCACCAAGCTTAATCTTCGCTCTGGTTGCCATCAAGTCCGCATGGACTCTGTGGATGTTGAGAAAACGGCTTTCAGAACGCACCATGGCCATTTTGAGTTCCTTGTCATGCCATTTGGATTGACCAATGCTCCCTCTACCTTTCAAGCACTAATGAATGAGGTATTCCGGAAATACCTATGTCAATTTGTACTTGTATTTTTTGATGGCATCCTTGTGTATAGCAAGACTTGGAAGGATCATTTGTCGCACATGCGAATCATCTTTGAGTTGCTGCAAGCTCATCGTCTTTGTTTAAAAAAATCCAAATGTTCGTTTGGTGAAAAACAAGTAGCTTATCTGGGCCACATAGTTTCAAACACAGGTGTTTCAGTTGATGCCAGCAAGATGAAAGCCGTGGCGGACTGGCCTCAACCGCAATCAACAACAGCGTTGCGTGGATTCTTAGGCTTGGCAGGATATTACCGTAAATTCATCCAGAATTTTGGTCTAATTGTTGCTCCCTTAACAAGTATGCTTAAGCGATATTCTTTCAAGTGGAATGATGATGCACTTGCTTCTTTTGAAGCTCTTAAAAAGGCATTAGTTGCTGCCCCAATATTACAGTTGCCAAATTTTGAAGAAGAATTTGTTGTTGAGTGTGATGCTTCAGGTGATGGAATAGGAGCAGTTCTTCTTCAACAGCAGGGACATCCAATTGCTTTTTCTAGTCGTAAACTAGCTGATCGAAACCTAAAACTTCCGGCTTATGAACGTGAATTGATTGGCTTGACAAAGGCAGTGCAACAATGGAGACCTTATCTTTTGAGTCGAGCCTTTCTAATTCGAACTGATCATTACAGTCTTAAATACTTGTTAGATCAGTGTCTTACTACTTCTCCTCAACAACATTGGCTTAGCAAGTTGATAAGGTATGCTTTTCGAGTTGAATACAAGGTCGGGCGCTTGAATACTGTTGCAGATGCATTATCACGACGAGAAGGGACTGAAGATATGTTATTTGCTATTTCCCAGCCTCAGGTTTTTATATTTGATGAAGTCCGGGCAGAAGTCGAGCAATCACCAATACTTCAAGAACTTCAAGCTAAAATTGAACAGGGAGAGATGGATGTGGATTGGGTATTTCGAGATGGATTGTTGTTCTTCAGAGACAAGGTTTATCTCTTGCCAAATTCACCATTGGTAGCTTCTGTCTTGTCCGGGTTTCATGATAGCACACATGAAGGTGCTCAGAAGACCATGCAACGTATTCGCAAGGATTTTTATTGGCCAACTATGAAGACAGCTATCAAGGATTATATTGCTGCTTGTTCAATTTGCCAACGTAATAAGGTTGTTAACTTGAGTCCAGCAGGACTGTTATTACCTTTACAACTACCTAATCAAATCTGGTCGGATATCTCCATGGATTTTATTGATGGGCTGCCAAAATCATTAGGTAAAACAGTGTTATTGGTGGTTGTGGACAGGTTCTCTAAATATGCACATTTTATTACTCTTGCTCATCCATATAATGGGTCTTCTGTAGCAAGAATTTTCTTTGAGAATATTGTTCGTTTACAAGGTATCCCCGAATCAATTGTTAGCGATCACCTCCACTAGTACGTTCTGGAAAGAATTATTTCATTTATGTGGGACTAAATTAAATTTCTCATTTGCTTATCATCCACAGTCAGACGGCCAAACTGAGGTTGTTAATCGTACAATTGAGATGTATTTGCGTTGCTTGGTGGGTGATCGTCCTACAAAATGGGTAGAATGGATTCCATGGGCTGAATTTTGCTATAACACTTCTTTCCATTCAGCACTTCACACATCTCCATTTCAAGTTGTTTATGGCCACGAACCTCCCAGATTGCAATCCTACATGGCTGGTTCTTCTCGAGTTGATGTTGTTGACCGAGCATTAATAGACCGAGATGTTGTCTTACAGGATATTCGAGCCAAGCTCCAACAAGCACAACATAAGATGAAGACTATTTATGATAAAGGACATCGTGATGTGGAATTCTCTCCGGGATCGTATGTTTGGTTACGTTAACATCCATATCGCCAAAAAACTCTGGCTAGCCGTGTCTATCATAAACTTGCACCAAAATTTTATGGCCCTTTTGCAGTTTTGAGGCGCATAGGATCTGTAGCTTATCAACTTGATCTACCTGCAGGTTGCAAGCTTCATGATGTATTTCATGTGTCACTTCTTAAGCCATTCAAGGGTGAGCTACCCCTTGCTTTGTGCTTCGCTCCCGTCTGAATCGTGGTAATTGGGAACTTTTGGTTCAGTGGTGTGATTTAACTGTTGAGGATTTCACTTGGGAGAATGTAGATCATTTCAAATCTGCCTTTCCAGACTTCAAGCTTGAGGACAAGCTTTTTCTCCGGGAAGGGAGTAATGTTATGGATGCATTTGTTGGCAGACAATTTACTAGACGCAAGAATTACTAGGATAGATAATGATTGATAATTTCTGAATTATTTTGTCAGCTTTGAATAATACTTCCCTTAGTGATTTAGAACTCTTGCTATCTCTTTTAGTTAGGACTCTTTTCTGAGTTAGGATTCTTGCTATTTCTTATTTGTTAGGACTCTTTCTTTGTAACCTCTATTTAAGAGAGTCGACGCTTATCAATAAAAGTAGGTTGAATTTCTTCAAGTCACAGAGATTTTGAACTTTTCTCAAACAAATTCCAAGGTATGCAATTCCCTGATTCAATTGCAAATCCAGCAATCATAGGCAAGTCTAGGAACAAGAACAAGGGCTTAGACCTTCGTGTTGGGCCTGACTTTCCTATTAATCGTCCAGCAACTCGATCCAAAATTAGGGACCATAACACAAATATCTGGGAAAGAGTCCTGAGATGGCAAGGAATACATAGACAGGCAATGGAATGGCATGAAGAACTAAGTTGGGCATCTACATATGCAAGGAGTAAAAATGCATCACCTGAAAATTACACGATTTTCTTTGCAGGGTGTATATTTTTTATGGCGGGAAAGGAACCTAAGGAGTTTTCGGAACAAACAAAGAGAGGAAGGAGTAATCGTGAAACAAATTATTTAAGAAGTGATTTACAGAGTAAGTTTGAAGCCTAGATTGACATTAATAATAGAACAACTTAATTTCTATCCTTGAATGATGCATATGGTGAGGTGTTAGTAGTCCCCAGATGGGTAGGAGTAGGTTGCTTATGTTGGAAGATGCAACGGTGTCCAAATCTAGCATAGAAGCAGAATATGATCCATGCATCCACAACTATAGAATTAGATTAGATAATTTTCTTTTTCGAGACATTGGTATCCAATTATATCAATCGCCTCAGCTTCTATAAGTACCCATTGGAGGTCGAGCATTAGGGTGGTAGGTTAGGAGTTAGTTGTGTGTTTTACTAATTCGTATCGGGTGTGAGGATAGTCGTTTTGTCTTAGACTGCTAGTGGTTAGTGTTTGTGTTAACTCTATTCTTCCGTTTCATAGTACCGGGACGTATTTACCCGTTATTGTTATTGTTTTTCCGTCTATTTTTTGATTCTTATGTTGTTATTATTTCTCTTGTTTCTATTGTTGGTACTGCTATATTTTCGTCTTCTTGAGCCGAGGGTCTAACGGAAACCGTCTCTCTACTCCCTCGGGGTAGAGATAAGGTCTGCTTACACACTACCCTCCCCAGACCCCACTTGTGGGATTTCACTGGGTTATTGTTGTTGTTGTTGCCTCGGCTTCTATAAGACAACAAAGGTGCAGTCTGTGTGTAAATTAATCCAGTATTTCATGCTTGGAGCAAACATATCGAGATAGACTAGTATTTTGTTCGAGAAAAAGTTTCTCCTGGTGCACTCACTCCTCACTATATGCCTTCTGTGCTTCAAGTTGCAGACGTTTTCACTAAACTGCTTTAAAGGGTTCCTTCACATTCTCTTTGGGCCAAGCTAGGAGTGCAATCAGTCATATCCTCCAGCTTGAAAAGAGGTGAAAAGGAGAAGCATAAGCCAAAAATTCCCAGCTGGTATAAGAAATATAAGCCAAAACCCACAGCGGTATTTTCTCAAAATACCACATAATTTGCTTCATGAAAAGATGTGATTTTTAACTCAATGACAAATGCCATCAATGCTGCCAACTTACTGCAAGGGCTAGGCTTTTGCAGAAAAAGGACAGCAAAGAGACTACAAGACAAGACCTTGAACTATCATCTCATGTGAGTCAAGAATAACTAAAAGTTTTAGTACAGGAACTTCCTCAATTCAATATAACGTCCATAATGCATAGTCAAATTCAGTTTGCTCGAGTAGGTATTAAATTTCTTATCCCAAAGCACTCTCTCCCCTCCCCATCCCCCATCCCCCTTCTTTCTCAGAAAGGAAAGTAAGGGACAAATCTCAACATTACCTCGAAGCACACAGGCACAGGCACAGGCACAGATATGCTTTAGACATGAATATGCCATAAATTTTATAGCATAAATGTGCTTGTTACAAAACCATTATACAGACAAGGAAATGGAAAAGAAAATAGTGATAACCTACCAACTTTCAAGACTGATAAACATCAGGAAGGCGGAGACCCACACTTGCAGCAGATTTGCCCAGCACTTTCGTCATCTCATTGGATCTATCCACAGCAATATTGTAAGAAAATAATAAATCCTGCAGAAATAAAGGAAGTCACATGATTTATAAACTGCAGTTGTAAAATCACAGATTCCTCAATACAAGAACATAATATCCAGAAAACCATGATGAAAGAAGAGACGGGAGATCACTACACAAATAATGCTGAAGTCGAGAAAAGAAGATTCCCCATGACTCCCTTTAATTTATTTCAACTTTATGGTCAAGTAATAGGTAAACCACAAGGTATACATAGTGCTCAATCCGAAAAAATCTTCAGTGATATGAACATATATATGCAGCATCAATCAGAAAGCACATTTCATTTCGATTCAAAGCCACCTACTGTTGACAAGTGATAAGCTTTAGGATTTGCAAATGAGTGGAGTATGAATACCATTGGAGTGCCATTCAGAATAGCAAAAGCTATGAAAGGACTCTGAAAGAACAGAATTTTGTATTCAATTTAACAGAATTTTGTATTTTATTTCTCATGCATAGCAAAATGCTGTTGGTAAGACGCAAGCATTTGTGAAAACAGTGTTCGGCAAAATGACTCAGCTCAGCTGGATGGAGAATGCCTTATTATCAAGTTTAAGCAATTAAGTCTTAATTCAAATTAACCAAAAAGAATGGAAGAATCTTCTTTCTAGAAAAGAAAAAAGAATCCTTTTCATCTCCCTCTTTTTTTTAGTTAAACACTGAACACCTATATAATTATGATTAAGCTACAGATTTACCTCCTATTCAACTTCATCACTTAATCCTTCGATATTACAAAAGTCTTTCACGAATAGAAACACTGTTGCTTCTTGTTCTCCATTAATCTTTTTTACAGTGAGCAAAAAATTATTTATATTGACTAATATGTTAACAAAGTTGACCCTACTGATGATTTTCTGATGGTATTTGATACCATAACACAATATCAAACCCATGAGCACATTAACTTCCTCTTAAACAACACTTGTCTTTATGAAGATTTTTAGAATCCATCATCATCATTTTTTTTTTTTTGAAGAAGAATAGTCCATTATCATCATATATGCAGCTTTTGATTGTCGTGGGCTAACAAAGCTAACAATGAGAGGGACGATGTTGCTCAGAACTTTTACTACAAGAAAACTATGTAAACAATTTAATCCTATCCCCTCGCTTCACAGTTCACACAGCATAGGATCATTACAATCTGACACATTCTAATCATATGAATAAGTTTGTGAAATTTTCATATGCTCAATCATTTTGGCCTGTTATACTGCTCATTACTCGCTATATGTTTATATCAATATTAATCATGCCTCAATCTCAAACAAAGTTATGGTCAGCTATAAGAATCCTCAATACTATTCCACTATATTCAGACCTTAGTCATTCCATATCGCTCGCCTGCCAGAGCTAGAACCTGTTTGGATGGGCTTAAAAAAACCAGCTTCTAAGACCTTTTTAACTTGTGGAAGTGTTTGGCAACTAAAAAAAGAGCTTAAAAAAACTTAAAAGCCATATTGCTTTGACCAAGGATATTACATTCTTTATCCCTTATAATTTTTCTTAATCCCAAAATTACCCCTAAGTTATCAGAATTTCCCTTCCAATTGTTTTTCCGCCGGAGTTTCTGCGTCGGTGAAGTTGACCACCAGTTACCGTCGGCCACTTACCTTCTCCTCCGATCTCCTTTTCCGGCGAAATGCAGTTGTAAGTTTCGCCGCCCTCTTTCTCTATCTCTCTCTTGATTTATACAGAACAACTAAATATTTTATTCTATGATATTTTATTGTGGTAAAATACGAATTGAAAATTCAGTTGAGCATTCCATTGTATAAAGAAAAACATTGAACTCCGATTTTTATAGTTTCTTTGTGATTTTTACTAGTAGTTATTATGGTGGTTGGCTTATAAAAATTATCTTAAATAATCAATTAAATTAAAATATAACTTATTTTTTATTTACGTTAATTGTGAATTAAATATATTGTAGTAATCAGCTCCTTTTTAATATCAACGACTTTAAGGATATTTCTGTCTTTTTAACAAAAAAAAGTGCTTACCAGCACTTGCTTACCAAACACTTCAGCAGCTTTTTTTAAGCATCAGCGCTTTTATCCAAACAGGTAACTACTTATTTATAAAATAAGTTTCAACGCTTAAAACTGCTTTTAAGCACTTGTGCTTAAAAGCTACTTTTTTCCAGCTAATACAAACGGGCTCCTACTTTTTGGCTAGCTTCTTTTTGGCCCCCACATATCGATGGTTTTTTAATGCCTTACCCTAGGCCCATCTAATTGATCGAGGGATAGACGAGTATAAAGAAGGGATGGAAAATCTTATATTTGATCTTGATTTGATGTATATGTTACGATACCTTCGTATGAAGGAGGATTAGGGGTACAGCAATACTGCTTTTACCTATAAATAATTTGCTATAAATTAAGGACTCACTAAAACTAGAACCCTAAAAGTTCTTTGAATCCCAAACTTATCCATGCATTGGCAGTCAGGTCTATAACCATACAATAACAGACTTTGTAAGTATGACACTACAACATAACCTTTATCCAACAAATTGGTATTGCCTCTATAGGTCCCTAATTAAATTCACGTTAATTCCAAGAAATTGCACGTCTCCTAAGACAATCTTTCTCCAGGTTATTTTAGGTCTACCTCGTTCTTTCTAGCACCTTCATTTATCATAGTGCCACACCACCATCTCAAGCGGCCTTTCCTTGTTTTATCCTTTATCGTGCCACATGCTCCCCTTATCGAATCTGATCACTTGTAATCTTGCCTGATGATGTATGATTACACATACACCTCAACATTAACATTTTTGTGACTCTCATCTTGTAGGACTGTTGGAAATTAGAGGCTCAACATTCACTCCATGTAACATTACTGCTCTTGCTACCATCCACAGGACTTGCATTTCACTCAGCTATATGCCTTAACTGAACAAATAAAATACATTATATACGAATCGAGATTTTTAAAAATATACTTTTTCTGTCCTAATTTATATGATACTCTTATTTATTTTAGAACTTCCTAAAATGTTCCACCATAAAACTTTTCACAAATTTCGAATTTAAATTTATTTAACAATTAAAAATTTCAATTTAAGAAAAAATTAGCAATTTAAAACCTAATTTTTTTATAACCAAGAAGTCCCGAGGGCCAATGGCGTACGGGTCGGAATTCGATCAATAATGGGTTCGCCCCTCTACCCTACGCCATTTAAGTACCAGGCTTTTGTGTTCTACAGTTCGAACCAGTGACATGCGCCTAACCAACACATCATGCGGCGCTCTTACTACCAGACCAAAGCCCTGGGAAAGAGTCTGAATTTAGTACGATGCTAATTCTGTGAACTGGCTTTTAATTACTTTTTAACAATTGTTTTAATATGTTCCTCCATTAATAATACTACTTCATATTACATTGCCGGAATTAACTTGGTAAACTCCATCCTAGTCAAGATGCATCTTAATGAAACAAGAGGGGCTAGTACAACGTAACCACAGAAAGAAAATTGTGGATAGCTAGAGAGATAAAGCAAACCTTATGATGGTGGACACTGTTGAGAAGGTATGTATAATTTTGAGCAAGATTAATCCTCTGTTGAATAAAAGAGGGGTCTTTTGGGCATTCAAGATTGCTGTTCTTCCTGAACACTTCCCTGATGAAATCAGTGAAATGAACCCTGTGCTCTTCCTTCCCTATATGCTTTTCCACTGCTTTTAGTAGATTCCTATACACCTTTAGCGTAGCTCTTAAACGCTCAGAGGACCCCATTTCTGCAAAATCCCCAACAGACCATCAACATCAGGAATTTAAACAGTACTCTAAAAATCCAAAATTCCGGAAATAGAATATTGGGCAAAAAAAGACAATAAAAGTTCAATTGTTTTAAGTAATTCAGTTCAAAATTGAAAAGTGAAAACTAACAGTTAACTCATTAGACGCTTTGCCGCACCCAATGTGATAAGTACTGGCAATTCGCAAACTTTAACCAGTTTGTTAAACTCAAACTGAAAAAGAATTGCCATATTGTAAAATGACCCTTCTAATTTAGGAAAGTGATGCAACATGAACTCTCTGTTGTCATCTATCTCAACTGAGCCCTTACACTTATCTCCTTGTCTTGAAATTTATTTCGTATAATTATTCTATACTTTAATCTCTTTTTAATGTTGAGAGTCACAAGTATCTCACCAGGTGATTCCAGGTGACAAAGGCTTGTGCAAGGATTGCAAGGTGATTCCAGGTGAGATACTTGTGACGCGACATAGGCTCTTGGTGATGGACGTTGGTATTATGGAGAAGAGGAGAAAAATGTCGGGTCGAGGAAGACCGAGAATCAGGTGGGGAGCCTTAACTAAGGACAAAGCTCAAGAGTTGGAAAGGCGGTTGTCGGTTATGGGAGCTTGGAGGAGCAGTGGTGACGCGAACTCTATGTGGTCAACGACAGCAAACTATATAAGAGAGGCNCAAAAGGCGTGTCGGTTCCCTACATTATGGCGATTAAGGACATGTATGATGGGGCAAAGACTCGAGTTAGGACAGTGGGAGGCGACTCTGAGGATTTTCCGGTTGTTATGGGGTTACACCAAGGTTCTACGCTCAGTCCGTTCCTATTCGCCCTGGTGATGAATGCGTTAACACATCACATTCAAGGGGATGTGCCATGGTGAATGCTATTCGCTGATGACATAGTTCTAATTGATGAGACGCGAACCGGTGTTAATGAGAAGCTGGAGGTTTGGAGACAAGCTCTTGAATCTAAGGGTTTCAAGCTTAGCAGGACAAAGACGGAATACTTGGAGTGTAAGTTCAGCGCTGAGCAGAGGGAAGTGGGCGTGGATGTGAGGCTTGAATCGCAGGTCATCCAAAGTAGAGACAGCTTCAAGTACCTTGGGTCGGTTATCCAGGGGGGAGGGGAGATCGACGAGGATGTTACGCACCGTATCGGGGTAGGATGGATGAAGTGGAGGTTAGCATCTGGAGTATTGTGTGACAAAAGAGTGCCATTGACACTCAAAGGTAAGTTCTATAAAGCGGTGGTTAGGCCGGCTATGATGTATGGGGCTGAGTGTTGGCCGGTTAAGAAATCACATATCCAGAAGATGAAGGTAGCATAAATGA